TGTCTTTTAGGCATTAAAATATTCCGATCAGTGCAAACTGTAATAGCTCTTACTTTTCTTTTTGCTCGTCATCATTTCAACAGATACCTGCAAAATAATGACATTCCCATCCACCTCAGCCCTTTGTGTTTAGTGATAGTCCCAGCTGCTGGGTTAAGCAACTTGTTAACATGCAGTGTTGTAGCAGCAGTTCACACAAATACAGCATACTACAAAAGTACACAACGAGCATCTTTTATGTCTTTATCATTAGTTAATAACAACGACCTCATGCTGAATGTGAAAAAGAAAAAAAGTCATTTAGGATTAGTGCAAATCATAATCCTAATCGCTGATGTTAGTTTATAGGAATAAGGACGTGAATAAATAGACTTAGCAAGTTAAGATTTATTTTTATACTCTTCTTAAAAACGCTAAGTTGTAGAAGGTGTTGCTAGAAGTTGTAATCTGTGTGGACATCCTTGCTCTCAGACCTGTGTGTGTGTGTGTGTGTGTGAGCTCAAACATTCCTGTGTGCTATTGTTAGTCTGTGTTTCTGTGGGTGTGGCCATTAACAGGCTCGTAACTGCATGTTCAGCAAGAAGTATGCGTTTCACTGAGGGGAAGGACATAACTGCAAGAGAAGTATACAAACACTGTGAATGCTCCATGCATGTCCTTAGAGATTTAATGACATAGTTTATTTCTCAGATGTGGATGACAGCTGGCATTCACCTAAACGCACTTTGGTGTGCTGAAACTGCTGTGGAGGGGTGATGTGCAGGTCACGCCTCTACAGATACATTAGAAACCAGACGTTTACATACACTGTATGAAAATACACATAACCTTTTTTTTTCTTACTATCTGACATTAATCAGACTAATTTTATCCTGTTTTGGTCAGTTAGGATTACCAAAATGATTTCTATTTGCTAAATGCCAGAATAATGAGAGAGAGATTTTTTTAGAGAATTTTTTTTACTACTTTCTTCAAAGTCAGAAGTCTACATAAATTTCCTTAGTATTTGGTAGCATTGCCTTTAAACTGTATGACTTGGGTCAAATGTTTTGGGTTTCCTTCCACAAGCTTCTCACAATAGTTTGATGAATTCTGGCCCATTCCTCCTGACAGAGCTGGTGGAACTGAGTCAGGTTTGTAAGCTGCCTTGCTCCACACACCTTTGTAGCGCTGCCCACTAATTTCTACAGGATTGACATCAGGTCTTTGTGATGGCCACTCAAAAACATTGACTTTGTTGTCCTCTAGTTACTTTTTAACTAATTTGTTTAGGGTCATTGTCCATTTGAAGACCCATTTGCGCCCAAGCTTTAACTTCCTGGCTGATGTCTTGAGATGTTGCTTCCATATTTCCACATGATGTTCTTTCCTCATGATGCCATCTATGTTGTGAAGTACACCAGTCCCTCCTACAGCAAAACAACCCCACATCATGATGCTGCCACCCCCGTACTTCACAGTTGGGATGGTGTTCTCAGGCTTGCAAGCTTGCCCCTTTTTCCTCCAAATGTAACGATGGTCATTAAGGTCAAACAGTTCAATTTTAGTTTCATCAGACCACAGGACATGTCTCCAAACATGAAGGTATTTGTCCCTGTGTGCATTTGCAAACTGTAATCTGGCTTTTTTATGTTGCGTTTGGAGTTGGAGTTGGAGTCACTGTAAATAATGACACTCTCTTACCAGCTTCAGCAGCATCTTCACAAAGTCTTTTGCTTTGTTCTGGGGTTGATACGCACATTTCAACCAAAACATGTTCATCTCTAGAACACAGAACCCATCTTATTCCTGAGCACTATGACGGCTGGACATTCCCATGGTGTTTGTACTTGCATGCAATTGTTTGAACAGATGAACGTGGAACCTTCAGGCATCTGGAAATTGTACCCAAGAATGAACCAGATTTGTGGAGGTCCACAGTTCTCTTGCTTCTTTAGATTTCCCCATGTTGCCACAGAAGTAAGCAGTGTGTTTGAGATGTGCCTTAAAATACATCCACAGGTGTGCTACAAATTAACTCAAATGTTGTCAGTTAACCTATCAAAAGCTTCCAAAGCCATGACATCATCATGAAAATGAAATGAAAAATACTTTATTTATCCCAGAAGGGAAATTCAATCTTGTAAAAGCTCACTTTTTAAATTTTTATTTTTTTTTTTTAAATCAATATAACATATATTATATACAACAATAATAATCATTCAATCAGTCGGATTTGTTTTTTAAGGTGGCAGGAAGGAATTCCTGTATCTCTCATCTGGGTTTTCCCAAATAGTTTGAAGGCAGAGTAATCTTAGTGTATGTACATCAGTACATACATGTACATCAATCAGAGTATGACGTGTTTATGTGCCTGTCTGGATTCTGATTTGTGAATCTGTCTCTCTTTTTTAGGGAGAATGTGTGTTGACTGTTCAGCTTGATCACGAAGACGTGAATAATGCTACGGAAGAGGAAGAGGTGGAGTTTTATCTTATTTTCTCAGGATCCACCCAAAGGCATGTGAGCAGCACACTGCATATCAACCACTTCACACTGCAGGCTGTGTGTCCAGGTACAATGTGCACACACACACACACACACACACACACACACACACACACACATACTCTGAATGTATTGTTTTATGGCCATCACTTATTTTGCTGGAACAACCTGACATTTTCGAAATAAAAAAAAAAAACATGAAAAATGAAAAACATTGGACTTTGCAGCTGTGTCAGAGTTTGTCGAGTAACATGTGAACTTCCACAGCAGAACTACTGCAATACGCCTCATGTTCCAGTGAGAGTAAAATTACACATTAATAAGAGAAACAGCCAAAGAATCTATTTCAATTTAGACTTACTAAATATCCAGGATTTAGAAGCATTTATCAAAATTCTAATTGGGTAATTTCCCTTAAAATATTCTGATTATATCAGTCTGTTTTGTCCTGTTGTGTTATTTTTTTGTTTTTGCTTTTTTGTTTTGTTTTTCTTTTTTTGTCTTTTTTTGGTAAATCTATTAAATATCCACGTCATTTGCCTGGCCTATAAGACAGAGTGTATTAGCAGTATTGTTGCTATTGTAAAAGAAGAGTCAGGGCAGCGTGAAATAAAGAAAAACAAAACATGGTTGTTTTTACATGTATTTTGCCCCCTAATGTATGTTAATGTGGTTTACAAATTCTAGGTAGCACTTATATAGATATAAAATGCAATTAAGTAAAACACCACCCACTCTGATCTCAGTAATAAACATAAACAATAATTATCACCTTTTTGACAATGTCAGCACAAACTGAAAATGTAGAATGCTTTTTAAAAATAAGGATTTGTTGCAGAGCTGTTGTATTGGATTGCATTAGATTTCACGGATTATGTGTGTGTGTGTGTGTGTGTGTGTGTGTGTAGCCCATAATATGTGCGAGCAGGTCCTGGTGACACTATGTTTGGCTCGGCCTGATGGACCGATGGACACACAATCACAGGAGACTTTCTACTTCGTTCAGGTAATGCCGTTGTCCTTCCACTGCATCCAACAGGTCACTTTAAATTCCAGCCAAACTAAGGGACAGAGGGAATTAATTAGTGACACAGGCAAAAGCAGTTCAGCTACAACCAGTACAACATTTGTATTTCTATTGTTGCTCCTAATCAAGTTTGGAGATACATCGTTTTCAGGCTCCAAAAATGTAAGTGATTTTAACTTGCTTCAGATGTCAGAGTCGTCCTATATACAAGACATTAGACAAGAAGTTGTTAGAAAGTGTTGCGCGCAGCTGGCTCGTTTTTATCCTTCTTTTTAAATATTTGGTGTTGTTTACCACCTATACAATACTAGACCATTCAAAGGACTCTCACTGCCCAATGTGAAATGCTTAAATGACAGATATTTGTTCACAATGCACCTTGGTAACACTGATGATTGCTTCCATGCCAGTCAGTTCACCCTTTGTAGATAGCAGTGATAAAGAAATTTTCCACTATCCTGAACAAATTTGGCCTGATAATTCGTAATTATTTTGGGGGGTTAATGTTGTATTGTGGGACTTTGTGATGAAATGTTTGCCTCTCAAGCCCACTAGAGCACCTCTTCTTCTGTCCTGTTTAAAGAATAAAGAGTTAATCCAAGTTACTCTTAAGTAAACTTAAGTACACTTAAGTAAAAGTCATTGAATGGATATTTCTTTACTCTTTATTTGCATATTGGGTATTGTGGGAATTCAAAAGTAAGTGATCAAGTTACATTACTTTAATATTGTGATACTTGGTTTCAGTTACTGACTATATTCTTTATTAGGGATTGTATAATTGTATAATTAGGGATTGTAACGAAAAGCATTCTTAAAGTAACCCTCCCAACCCTGTTGAAGTGTATTGATCTGCGGCCATTTTGTGTATTGTTTTTAAGGACATTTGTATGTCCACCAGGGGTGCCTCCAGAAATCATTCATAGGAATGGCAAGATGGGGCCACAGAAAGTCTTGGGGTGGCACAAAATAACCAAAAACTATAATTCACTTTCACAAAATTCACTATTCTGTTGTTGTGTAGAGGCGAATTGAAAACCATGTCAGTATGAGAGTTAAGAAATCATACACTGATACACTTTGTTCCACTTTGTACAGTGAAGGCCACTAATTATCTGATGTACACAGACTAATACAGGTACAGGTAGCGTTTTGGGTGTTAGAGTGACCACCAATGACAACAGCCAAGTACAGGACATGCCACAGTATATTTGAAGGGGAAAAGTTCACCCGTAGGCAAGATATCCAGAGTTTATTTAGGATTTTACTACAAAGAATCCTGTGCATATGAGACACGAGGTGTGTCAGAAAAGTTCCAGGACTGGTGTCACAAAAGATAGTTTTCAAACCCAAACTCAGAGTTTTCCCCTTCAGACGATCAACCAGCACGTCTACAAAGAGATCCTGTGGCGTTTACTTCGTTCAGTGTGCGAGAAGAGGTGAGAGTTGTGGCAGGATAAGTTATAGCTGCTTCACCATGACAACACGCCTGCTCACAATGTCCTGAGCATCCGACAATTCTTGGCTGAGAAGAACATCGCCGTGCTGGAGCAACCGCCCTACTCATCCCACCTGGCTGCATGGGACTATTTCCTCTTTCCCAAACTCAAGGGGGTCATCAAGGGGACCTGTTTTGAAGACGTGGACAACATCAAGATGGCTGTGACGATGGAGCTGTGGAGGATCCCGGAAGAATCCTTCCAGGAGTGCATGGCAGCGTGGCAGAGGAGGCTGGGGACGTGTGTTAGACTCCAGGAGGATTACTTTAAAGGGGAAAACTTGTAGTTTGGATTTGAAACATATCTTTTGTGACACCAGTCCTGAAACTTTTTGACACACCTCGTATGATAGTTGAACTAACTTCAGCCAGTTATGGTATAACAAAAGGAGTGTTCCTTGCTATCTGTTGCTATATTTTGTTACTTTTTTGGTTAAAGAGGTAATGTTCCATAATGCATCCGTACACACAATGTTAAATACATAAATAAATTGTGCACATATCCTGCTGTAAAATACAAACATCTTCAAATTTAAAAAAATAAAAAATGAAAAAAAACCTTGATCTGACAGAAAAATATAACTTTGCCAAATGAATCAGACTTTACCTGTAAAACAATATCCAGCTCAGGATTCAACTGATTTACCTGTGACTGTGACAAATCATCTGTCTAAGGTCAAGAAAAATACTCAGTGTTATTTATTGTTTGATCCTGAGCCATCCAGTCTCCTAGTCAAAATAGTTTACAATTATATTAGGGCTAGGACTTTAATATTTTAATTTTGGTTAATTTATTCCAGAAAAAAACCCAAAACATTTAATCGCAATCTAGGTTCCCTAATTTTTTTGCACACCGGAAACACTGATGCACACACGCCAGCCGGTAGGTGGCGGTAATGCATCTAAAGTTTGTTTGCTAGCTGCGAAGGAGATGCAGAGGATACATTGATTGATGTCAGCGCACAAGAAAGTTTGATGAACAGTGATGGAAGGGGAGACCGCATTGCTTGGCTTGTTGGGTGGACAGTTGTTGGGTGGAAAGTTGTTTTTCTTATCAAGGCCTAATGCGCGCCTCCGGTAAGAGCAGAGGAGGGGCGCTCTGCATCTATGTGAACAACAGCTGGTGCACAAACGCCACTGTTACTGACAGGCACTTCTGAGCAGACCTGGAATTTATCACAGTTAGATGCAGGCCCTTGTACCTTCCGCGTGAGTTTGCCGTTGTCATGGTGACTGCTGTGTACATTCCACCCGATGCTAAAGCTAGCATGGCTCTTACCCACTTGGACAATGCTCTCAGATGGCAACAGAAGAACCACCCAGAAGCAGTGCATGTGATCGCGGGGGATTTTAACCATGCTGATTTGAAAGTAGTGCTCCCTCGATTTCATCAGCACATTAAATGTGTCACCAGGGAAGCTGAGGCGCTGGATAAAGCCTAGTCCAACATCAAGCATGGATACAGGGCCACCCAGCTGCCACACCTTCTGACCACATGTCGCTACTTCTGATTCTGGCATACAAACCAGTGAAGAAGTGAGCACCCCCCACAACACAGACTGTGAAGTGTTGGCCTGATGGTGCCTCTCAGAAGCTCCAGGACTCCTTTGCAAGCACAGACTGGGACATTTTCTGCCACCAGGACCTGGAGGTGTTCACCTCAGCAGTACTAGGCTACATCCAACACAGTGTTAACACCATCACAGTGAACAGGAACAACCAGGTGTTTCCCACCCAGAAGCCCTGGATGAACAAGGAGGTTCAGGAACTGCTGAGGGAGAGAAACAGTGCATTCAGGTCTGGAGACAGGGACCTGTACAGCTACACTCGAGCTGCTCTGAAGAGAGGCATCAGAGAGGCCAAGATGAACTACAAGCAGAAGATTGAGGAGGACTTCAGCAGTAACAACAGCTGACAGGTGTGGCAAGGGGTCCAGCACATCACCAATTTCAGATCCAGCAACACCACCGCAATCTCCAGGGATGCCTCACTGGCGGAGGAGCTTAACCACTTCTTCGCCCGTTTCGAGGCTGTGCCGCCAGCGTGCACATTGCACCTCTGAAGACACACATTCCTGGATTCCTGCAGCCACACCACGCACCCCCTCTGCTTCCATTCCCTTGACCACTCTCTATCAAACTGCTGTCAACTAAGTTTTTTAGCTTCGCTTTTGTTTCAAGTTTTCATAGTTATTGTCTTGACTGATTAAGTGTTATCCTGTGTTTAGTGTGAAACTCGTGTAAAGTTAAAGTGTAACGTGTGCTCTGTTGCTTTATGCGATATTCTGGGTCTCAGCGTAAATTGCTTGTCGCTCTTTTTACTTTTTTTTAGTTCATGTGTGTTTCTGCCTTGTATTCTGGCTTCCGTGTTTTGCACTTTGTCAGCGCGTTAGTGTAATCCTGTGTCCACTCCTGTGTAATTTCCTAACCTTGTTATACTTAGTCCTGGTTAGTTTCCCAATCTACAATATTCTAGCATGTCGTGACTAACCATGTTTTTGTAATTTGTGATACACATCCTCAGCTTTTGTCCCCCCTGGGCTTCCATAGATTCTATGTGCCGTTGTGTTTCCTATAGTGTAGTTTCCTGACTTGCGTTCTAGTGCCGCCCCTGTTCCAGTTCCACTGAATTCCCTGTATGGTTGTTTGTTGTGTATTTTGTAAATAAATTTTTTAAACCTTGATTCTGTGTGCATCGCCTCTGTCTGCACTTGGGTCTCTGTACAAACCGCAACAGAAATATAGGTGAGCTGAAAACTAAAAATTAGTCAACAATATAGAAGATGCTGTATGACAGGGGTGTCCAATCCTGGTCCTCGAGGGCCTCAATCCTGCATGTTTTAGATGTTTCCCTCTTCCAACACACCTGATTCAAATGATCAGGATCGTTATCAGACTTCTGCAGAGCTTGATGATGAGCTGATCATTTGAATCAGGAGGGACACATCTAAAACATGCAGGATTGTGGCCCTCGAGGACCAGGACTGGACACCCCTGCTGTATGACGACATTAAAAACACCTCTGTAGCTCACAGCTCTGAGCTTGTAGAAAGAATGCAGATGTAAAGTATCAGAAAGGGCCTTTATAAGTTTGTCAGAATGATGACATTGCATTATCATCGTGTGTTCTCTGTAGGACTTGGCTCTTGACATGGCCCAGTTCTTGCTCGACAGCACAGCTCCACAGGAAGCATCGTTATTGGATGATGAGCAGGTAAGTACTAGAAATCATAAGAGTTCTAAAAAAATTTTATATATGTGGAAAGAAGCTTATTTTAATTCAATGTGTGTAAAATATGTTTTGAAGTGACTACTTAGTAACTAAACTGTTTGGTAGAAGTCACTTCAAAACATATTTTACACACATTGAATTAATGTGTACCAATGGTAGAAGCAGGAAAATAGAGGAAGAACTGATCAGACGTGCCTCACTGTGTCTGTGTGTTAGATCCCTTTAAAAGAATGTGAGAGGTTGGATGCGAGCCTGGCCCTGGCCCTGAAACATCTCAGCCTGCCCCACCACCAGAGTGCACCAAGAGCACCCTCACATACGCCGACAGATATGGACGGACAGATGGATAACCAAAAACAGACTGTCACAGTGACAGACTCGTGTACACAACATGACACAGAAATGCACCAGGAAACGTGGATGGACATCTCCTCTTTGCAGGACAGCTGCCCTGGTGAGTTAACATGCTGTTGCTTTACATGTTGCTGTCAGGGTTTGCTGGAGTCGTATTTATTTTGGTTTGTTCGTATCCAAAGACGATAAAATCACTTTCCTCTTCATGTGACTAATTAATCTAAAAGGCAGATTTGTGCTCTTTGCTGCGACCAGTATTGTTCCCTTTTGGGTCAATCTGTCAGTTTTGCTTTCTGGACGTTACTCTACTGACTGCTGAGGTTCCAGTATTGAACTTTCAATAATGTCCAGAGCTCATTATTCCAAAAGAACTATCCTTTGCCTTTATGTTAAATGGCAAGTTGTGGTTTTGCTCTGATGGGCCTTAGTGGTTCAGCGAAAGGCAATTGGGCTTTTCTTCTCGCTCACTATGAATTCTTTCTTTCACGCATCATCTCTAACACTTTTCTCATCCCATTCTGCAGTCATGTGAAGTCAACCTCACTGCCAATTAGCAACTGGAAGCTTCCCTTTGTTTTAGGGTTTGTGTTATGATGCTAAGAAGCAGCTAACTGGTTGAAGTATTTCATTAGATGATGCTGATAGTTTTTGAGTCAGTGCTGATAACGACCACTCCCACCAGTGAAGCAGCCACTTGCATAGATGTTGGTCTGACTCAGTGTGTTTATGTGCACTTCGTAGCTGGTTTCTTACATGTCATATTAACTAAAAACAACACAAATTAAAATTCTTGCCATCAGTTCTTCAGTGTGACTCTTCTCACAAACCAAAGGCTGACCTGATCAACCACATAGTTTCTCTGTAATCTGCATTTTTTTTTTTCCACTCAGGCTGTCAAATGCTGGTTAGTAGCAAACTTTAACAGCAGTTGTCATTATAGTTTTTGGTTTCATTCTCTTTTGTCAAGCTTGTTAAATATGTTTTTTAAAAAAGTATTTGATCCACAGAATACTGAGTCTGTGTTTGTTGAGTTCATTGCGAATGTCAGTCGGTTTTACAGTGAAGTCGTGCCACTGTTTGTCTTAACACTACATGTATTTATTGAAAAATGAAAGTAGTTTTAGTTTTGTCATTAGGTGATGTTCTTTAATGAATGAACTAAGCAGAAAAGGAAACTGGATTTCACATGGTGCTATCACATTTGGCTAACACTGGTAATAAACCTGCAGCAGTACAGTTCAGCAGACCAGACTGGTTGATCCCTAGAAGTGCATCTACATCACCCACATAAATATAGAATGTATCTGTTTCTGTCACACGTTAGATTTAGACCCTTACATATCGTGATCTTTTGTTTCAGATTGGATGTGTTATGTGTTCCATGTAATTCATCATTAGGATCACTAAAATAAAAGGAAACCATATGCCAGCTGGTGGGACAATTGCATATTGATCATTGTCAGCATTTAATTTCATATAATTCTTGAAATTTGCATCTATGACTGGCTGGTACTCACATTTTAGTGGACATTTCTATCACTTCTAAAGAGTATTATTGGTAATCATACAGAGCTTCTTGTTTTTCTTTCCTCTCTTATTTCTCTCCACTAGGAGGAGTCTGACTCTCTCCATTCTGTTTTATCAGCTGAGTCCACCTCCCTCACCTTGTCTCTTTTTTTTCCCCTCCTCTCCAGTTGTGTCTCAGTGCCAGCGGCTCTCTAGCCTGATGCACTTGGCAGCCAGTCACGGTCTGAAGACAGTGGCATTGTTCCTCCTGCAGCAGCCAGGAGGGAAGGAAGCACTGAAGAGAACTAACACTCAGGGTCAAACTCCAGCATGTCTGGCAAAGACGAGAGGACACCACTTACTGGTGGAGCTTTTCACACAGTGAGTACTGATGCCACAGTTTTATTAATGTAGGCCATTGAGCATGTTTTCGTAAATGCATCTCTGAGAATACAAAACTATTATTGGATTTATTTTTGAAAGTGCTGTAAAGTATCATTTGAACTGTCTCTGGACTATAACTGCTGTATGTCCACTAAAGAAGTTTATATCAGTGAAGAGGTGCCACCAGTAGTTCAGTGTGTGTGTGTGTGATGTGTTAAATGGACTGTGTGTCAGTCCTACAGGCTCACAGTGTGGTAGCGGTTTTGTTGTTAATCTTGGTGCTATTGGACTTGATGATGCAGCATATTCTGACAAGCAGCAGAGGGTCTCTCTGTGACAACATGACATCTCTTTCAGCATATACCTGATTGACGGGACACAATCTCACATAGGAACAAAACTTAAAACAGAATTAAATGAGCAGGTTCCTATGAAATACATGAAAGAGAAACATGTCCTCCAGCTTTCCCTCATTTTTCCCTCTTGTTTTTCCTTTTTCCTCTAATGATAAGGGGCGCCGGTTAGGCTGGTGGACCCGACAGCTCCTGTCTCCCCCAGTTATTGTCTTTATGTTTCTTGGATGGGATGTAGCTGTAATTGAAATTTCTCTGTAAGGGATCAATAAAGGCTCATCTTATTCTTATTCATCTTATTCTTATTCTTTACCTTTACAACAAAATATTTAGTACCTGACACATCTCACTGCTGGCAGTTCTGGCAGTTTCAGCTGTACATGGAAAATAATGTATACAAACACGTCTACCAACCCACAATAACTGTTTCATTAAAGTGCTACAACACAATCAAAACATATTGCTGTCCAAACTGGATCAATCTTACCTTCATTTGGTAACTGAAAAGTTTCTCACCACCCCAAACCTAAATCTGTGGAGCTTTCAGATATATTGACATGTGGGTATGCTGAGGAGCTGTAATAGACTTAGACTGACTTTATTAATCCCAGAGGGAAAATCAGTTATTACAGCGGCATAAATACTCAACAAAGAAAGCAAAAAGACAGCATAGAATATTAGGCTAGGGTATAAAATTAAGGTAAAATAAGGTAAAATAAAATAAGATGTAAAATCTAAAAAATATAATATAGAAGAAAGTCAACAAAATTCACAAGAATATATAAGAGAGATACAGAAATGTGCAGATGAACAGAATGTGCAAATGACATTGTGCTTAGATTAAAGCATTAAAAAGTCTTGTTGCTGCCGGGAGGAGTGAGCTCCTGTAATGTTCCTCGGAGCAACGGGGTTGTATCAGTCTGTAATGTAACAGTTATTACACTGAGTCATCGACTGAAGGGATTTAAACCTCTCAGTTTCCCCTCCTCCTCTCCACTCCCTTCAGTAGGCTCATTCCAGGTGAACTGCGTCTCGCCTAGAAAGTGGCTGAGAGCAGGCGGCGGTGGGCTAAAAGTTAAAAATCCACAGTCAAGACGAACAGTTTCTAGCAGCCTTCTGTCCGTACAGGAACTCACAGAAACAAACTAATTTATTAGAATGTTCCCCAATTAATGTACGAGTTCTACAGTAGTTTTAATTAGCCTCTAAAAATGCTTAAGAGGTGATCTGTGACATCTGTAATGTTCATTTATTTTCTCCTGTAAAACAGCATCAGATCAGTTTGGCAGTGTACAAACCAGGAGACCAAAACTATCTCTCTCCAACTATGTACCTATGTAACTATGTAACACTTGTAAGAAATACAGGACAACAGGTTTTGTCACTGATCCGTCAGATATGTAGACTGTCAGAGCTTAAACTTCTGTAAAAATGTTGCTTTCACACAGAAATGTTCGTGTTGCGAAATACTCGAAGAATTAAATCAGCCCAGTGATGATATACTAGAACTACATATTGTCGGTTTGTGATGTGTGATCTGTATATGGTTAGCCTCTGTGATGATAAACATCAACCACATATTTAGAATAAAGCTTTAAAATCAATATATATATACAATTAAAACCTCTAAAAGTCAACTAAAAGGAAAAAGAAAAAATCAAATGTCATATTGTTGAACCAATATGTAAACCAATCAGCTGTTAGATCAGGTGGAAGCCAGACGTTTCCCATCATGCCCTTAGGCCATGCAGTTGCTAGAGAGCAACTGCAGCATCTGGCTGTAAAAACGGCAGTGTCTTGATCTATTATCATTGCGTACGTTTACATGAGCAAGTTGGACAAGACCAGCATGCATTGTGCAACAATCGACAGTGGTCAAATCTACGAAGGTCTGACTTATCTCTAATGGGCCTAATGTTTTCTCCTCTTTGTCTCATAATGATGACATCACACTTACTCTGCCCATTGGAGTAGTGAAAAAAAGGAGTGGAAGAGAAAGACAGCTGAATGGAAAGAGTCGATCATCTTGACTGTCTGGGAATGTGAAGGATCAAACAGTCGGCCTGACATAAAACAGAAGTCTTACCTCTGTGAGCAGCCTGCTTGACAGCTTCTCATGCTCCTCTGCTCAGTGCACAGGCCTTTAAAGTGCTGATGAATACGTGTATATAAAACACTTGAGGTGTCTGGTTGAAGCTTTCCTGATCATTACTTATATTAGCAATGGATTAAGTGAATATCTGTCATCCAGCCCACAGAACATCATCAGCAACCCTGCAGAGATTTTCAGTGTCTTATTAAACTTAAAAGTCTTAGTGCACTCAGCAACTTTGTTGACTAAATGGTGAACATGGTGGAGTATTTAGGAGCTAAAGAGACAGGTTTTATCTTTAGAGGTTGACTAAATGTTGCTCGTTCATGGCTGAACGCTCCACTGTGTTCACCAGCATATCTCCACCTGTCTGCTGTGTGCTGTTAGCAGGCAGTGTGCAGAGGCTTTCTCTAGTTGTGTCTCTGAAACAGCTTCAGTGCTGATGAGAGTCATGTAAGAAGTGTTTTCAGTGTTTTCTGCAGGTGAATTGTAGGTCTGTTGTGGAAATAAGCAAAGAATGAGACAGTGTAATCCAAATACATAACCCCCAAGTT